GTCAGCGCAGATTAGAATCCGCTTCATAATAATAATTGAAGCTAACTGATTTATTGCTGCTGTCAATGGGAAACTGCTTAAACTCAATCACGTTTAGCAGCTGAAGCCGTGCATGCGCTAGTCCAGTTATTCCTACCCTAGAGACTTGTGCCTCATTTCTTAATATTCGAGTCGTTTACCTTTTGCATATATAAAGCACAATTCTTGTTTACCTTGTATTCTCACGCATATTAATTATTAGTTTTAGGGTTAATTTAATTCTGATTACATATTTCATACGCCTCTTCACTGCTTAGCGTATTCGATTATGTCATTCTTATTGTGCTTCACTTGTGAATCTTTTCTCTAGACATTATTCTCACGCTTCTTCGAATTGATTTTAATGCTGTCTTATACTCCTTCTACAAGCAAAAAGAGTATATATGATTTATAAATGTGCGTCTTGCGTTACATTTGTCCATCTATTTCTAGAGACTTACAATATGGAATATATACAACTAAATACTATATACTATTTAATATACTCTAATATTTCTATGCAGTTTAGCTTCATTCCTAATACATTCTATTGGCTGTGGCAATTTATTGAGTTTCCATTTCAAATGAATCCACTGAAGCTCTTCAGTCTCTTCCGTCATATTCGCATTCGCAGCTGTAATCTGAGCTGAAAAATCATTTTCGCAGTCCACTTCACGTTCGATAGATTGTGCAATGGCTCTAAATCTAAATTACAGTGACTCAACTTGTAAGTCGATGGCTTATCGCAGATCGTAAAGCGCAAACTAAACTGAGAGATCGTGCACACATCATTTTGATTGAATCTGCAATGAATATGCATTTAAATGGAGATCGACAAAGAACGACGACAGCAGACAATGGACAGCGGACAGGAGACGGCAGTCGGAGAGGAGATCTTTTGTCAATTGGCAAAGCGAACTGGTTGGACGCCTCTTTGGCCATTGCCACATGGCATCAAAAATGTGCATAATAAGCATTTGGTGTTTGCTCAGCCTGTTGGTGTTGGTTGTTGTTGACCAATCTTGAAGATTTGGCAATTGGCCTTTCACTTTTGTATCGACAAATGGCTGCAGTTAGCAAACCAAAGCAAAGCAGAAACCAAACCCTGTGCGAAGAGCTAAAGGCATTTTAATTGCCTACAAAATGGTCTGAGCTCTACGCAAATAAGTAATTAATTCGTGGCCGAACAAAAAGAATGCACAATAACAGCAACAATAACAGCAACAACAACAGCAACAACAACAATAGCGACAGCAACTGAAAGAGAAATTTACATAAAATTGTGTAATTAACTGAAATATTTCTGGCTAAAAAAAAAAAAAAGGGGAAGAAGCAGCAGTAGTTGCCTTTCAGCAACACCTACAATTGCGTCCAGTTAAGGCAAGAGGCGCAACGCCAGTCGGTCACATGAAAGCCACCCTAAAACAACAACAACAGCTACAACAATAACAACAACGATTTTAGCCGCTAGCCACAGAAACAATTGAAAGTACCACAATAACAATAACAATAACAACTACAACTACAACTACAACAAAAGTTATTTAACCAAACGCTTTGAAAAAGAAACTTGGTCAAAAGTTGTGCTTGATATTATCATCTCGTTCCATTCCATCCCAGCCCACCCGGTCCCTTTGCTTACGACGTCTCTCTAGAGTAGGAAAATGCTCGTAAAACTGTTTATAAATTAGCACAATTTGTCTTGTTCTTGCTGTTGTTGTTGTTGTTGTTGTTGCTGCGAATTGTGAACAGTTACAAGTGAAAAGTGAGGTAGTAGAAGCAGTTTTTAGTTGGGCCTAACTAATGTCGTTAAGCAAATGCTGAATGAGCATAAAAAAAAAATTCAAATTAATTGTGCTGAATGAAAAAATTCAAAGCAGTCAGAGAATGTGAATATGAAGGTTAATCAAAGGCCTATGTTTAGTGAGTTTAATTAGATAATTATGGTATTTATGACACTCTTTAAATTTTCTACCAAAGAGATGATAAATGTGCTGAGCACTTGAGGACTATGTCGGAGCCCACTTACAAACACAGATAATATGTGTGCTCTGAGTAAATGGGTGTGTGACATCTTTAAATACATATAAGACTTTAAGGGGCCCATCCACTTACGAAGAGAGTGGTTTATAGCTGCTGCGCTGAACCATATGGCACCAGACCGTAAAGCTGTTGCTTTAAGCCAATTCTTATAGCGCATTTATATATTTATATATTTTATTTTATTTTTAAAAAAACTTTAAAATTTTCTAAGAATTTCTGCTTTTAAGAAAGAAACAACAAAATAGTAAATAAATTGATAATAAATAATTTAATTGTAAATATTTTCTGTAAAATACATTTATTTTTAAAAATTTATTTAAAACGATTTTATAATGTAATCAATAAGAATATGACTTTAAAAATATATTTTTTGTAAATTTATTAAAGTAAATATTATTAGATGGTACTGCCCAGCTACAGTACATAGAAGTTTTCCAGTTTACAGATTAATGCGGGATAACTCTTGCTTTTAAGGCGGAAGTTTGCTCAGGAAAGATGACTTTTTGCTGATACACTGGTCATAAAGTATTTTTAGTTGCTTTGTCTTTGAAAGCTTTCAACTGTTTTCTGCTCAAAATATGCTCTTACATCTCTTCTTTTTATAACAAATAAATTTTAGTTTTTTAGGTTTCAAATATTCTTTAAATAATTTAGTAATAAATCTTGTTTTCTCTCGTTGTAACCGTCCCACTTAAAAATAGATAAAAACCTTTCTAGTTCGCTTTGCAAGTTGATGCAAAACTGGATGCATCAACTTCAGTCCACTGCCACATATAATCCGTTAAAAATTTTGGCAAATGGATGCTCAGCCAGCAGCAGCAACAGGGGGAGGGGCAGCGTTAGTTGGGGTTTGCTGTCAAATTGGCATCAATTTGAGCAACTGTTGCTGTTAGCTGATGCTGTAGTTGGTTAATGGCAACTTTTGCATCTGGAAGATGCGAATGGTGTGGCGCAACTGGCAGCAGATTGCATAAGTATTGCCAGTGGCTGTCACAGCAACAGCAGCAGCAGCAGCAACAACAAGTTGCAGCTAGTAATTAACGCAATCAGAAATGTTAACACTTGCCACAAGCAGCGGCAGGCGCAATGTGTGTTGCGCATTGGGCAGACTAATTGAATGTGTGGCATGCAAATTAGCTGGAATTGGGCTAAAATGCCAATGGCCAAGACTGAGTTTCCTGACTGACAACACCTACGCGCTGCTGCTGCTGTTGTTGCTGCTACCTGCAGATCTGCCTCGTGTGTGTGGCATGCCCAATTTGACACACATACACATACACCGACACTTTACGAGCCACGAGAGATTTATGGTATCATTAGCGTCAACTTTGTATCTGTCTGAGCGCTTGAGCTTTTCAGCAATTGTAATTTAAATAAACCCAGTTTCTTCTCTTTTTTTCTTGTTTTTGTTTTTGGCTTTTGGCTTTGTTGGTCAGGCTTTAAGCTGCATGAGAAAATCGAGGTTTATGGGCCAGTTAATTTAAATGTTCATATGGTTAATTGCAATTGTTTACTTGAAGTCGACTTGAGATGATATTCACTAGGAGAAAGACTTATTAACTAAGCTGTGTAGAAAAGCATGAGTGAGACGAGAGGGCCTTTGATTAGCGGATATAAAAAACAAGAGCGAGAGAGAGATAGGCGAGAAAGGGAAGCAAAACTGTTTACCAAGTTGGAAAGTTCATAAAGGTGATCTAACGAAACCGAAAAGAACTAAAGACATTGTAGTTAAAGTTAATGATAAAGAAGTATTCTAAGAATTGGTTAATGTGAGATGAAAAATGAGAGTTGGAGTGCAAGACAAGAGATAAATGTACATAAATGAGGGCTGAATAGATAGGATGATAACTAGGAGAACTAGTAAAGCGAAAGGTAGAGAGTTAATGATTAAAGAGATATTTAAGAAAAGTA